TTTCTTTTTTTTCTTCAGTCAAAAAACTACTCTTGACAATTGCCTTGATGGCACACCTCAGAGAGTTACAGACTGATTTTTATTTTATTTTATTTTTTACAGCTAGCTTTTAAAAATTGTTTCTTTGTTCATTTGTTCCTTCAACCCTGGAAGCTCACCATGAAAGCTTTAACTCAGCCTGAAAGAAACTGATCAACCTTTCAAACATGGTTGTTGCTTCATAGAATGCCAGGGAAAAGAATGAAAAAAATTCAGGTTATTTTTCCTCTACTTTCTCTAAGATCAACAGCAACATGTTCCTTTCTAATCATGATAGTCGATATCTTTTAAAAGCAGCCTTTTGTACAGCCACTCTGCTTTCTTCGGTCCTATTCTAGTGGGAAAAACTCAGTATTTTTGGTCACAGTGATATTCAGTGTGTACCTTTGTGGAGTCAGTTACACATTGAATACCAGTGTACTAAGGATCTTTCTTCCTTCCTCCCCCAGACTTTGTTAGCTCCAACTGGGGGAGCGGGGGGCGGGAAGGAAGATAACCCATTATTTTGTGGGATGCTCTTGTCTAAAATCTTTTTTTTTTTCTGTCATGGGCCATGATTTGTGAGATGAATCTGTCAAGAATGTTTTTATTCACCTGGTATCTCTGCTGCTGATGCAAAGAGTTCTAAGCTGCAAAAAGTAGCGAGGGTGAGCTGCTGAAGTTCACCACGAGGTCTTCCAGAGTAGACACCTCTTAATCGTGCAAAGTAACATAATTATCCGTCTGTTTCTTGCTTGCCCCTTGCAAAGCTAACCAACTGGTTCGTTTTTCGTAGGACAAGACGAGTGCTCTAAGCCTGAGCAATGTGGCCGGGGTTTTCTATATCCTTGTCGGTGGCCTTGGCCTCGCCATGACAGTGGCCTTGATAGAGTTCTGTTACAAGTCTCGGGCTGAGACCAAACGAATGAAACTCACAAAGAACACACAAAATTTTAAGCCTGCTCCTGCACCCAATACTCAGAATTATGCAACGTACAGAGAAGGCTACAACGTGTATGGAACAGAAAGTGTTAAGATCTAGTGGTTCGGCTGAAGGTCTAGTAAGCAAATCAACTGGTTTATATTTTTTGGTGTTCCCTGTGGTGGTGTGTTTTGGTGTTGTGTTCCCTAGCGTGGAATAGGATCTCAAGACTGTGTACATCAGAACTGGGACACAATACAGCTGATGTCTTTTTGACATGAGTTGCAGTAACACCATTTTTTTTTTCAAAAATTCATAGATGGTTCAGTTTTCCTTAGATCAGTTGCCACTTTGTCTTTTCCTTGGAATGCAAGAACAGCTTCAATGGCAACCATGGTGACAACCACATTTTCTGCTGCCTGAGGAATATAATTCATATAAACCTCTTTCCCCCCCCTCCCAAACCAGTGCTTACCATGGAGAGCGACATTCCAAATCAATAGGGTCATTGCCAAAGTGCCAGCCTTACAGATGAAGCTTGTTTACCTCTTGAGAGTGGAGGCTAGTGTCTCTAATTTCAGTGGGGCAAAGAATTCACTCTGTGTTTCAGTACAGGCTTTAAGGGAACTATCCAAGACGGTGACCACTAGCACCAACATCTTGGATAGCTCCTTAAAAGTTCAGATGAAAATCTATTTTGGATTCCACGCCCCTGCAAAACCAGCCTCCGCTGCCTCTGGATGAACCATTAGCAAACAAAATGTGCAAGCTTATTTGCAACTCGAGGAAGCCTCGTGGAAGACTAAACAAACATCCTTTATTGCTCACGAAAGCTCTTCAAGTTGCAAAGCTGTGATTTTATATAATTTTACCCAAACATCAAATTGCTTTCAACAAAGTCTCCAACAAATACTTTAACATGGAAAGCATTCATTTTATAAATCTCCTGCTCTGTTACTTGTTACAGACAGTGGCATTATTATAAGCAACAAGGTGTTTATTGGAAAAAATAATGTTGTAATAATTAGTTACAGAGGTTGCATTTGATGCCCCTTGGCAGGGACTCCATGATGTGTTTCATAAGGCAGCCACCTCCTTTTCTCTCTTGGTAGGACTGGCCCTGATAAGCTTAATCTTAAGCATTTCAGGCTTTGCCCTAAATATTGACACATCAGCCTTACACACAGAAATGGAGACTGTTCACAATTCCCCCCCACACACACACACACACCTTTCATTTATTAAAGGCAGCTGTGATGAACTCAGGTAAGTGCTTTTCACAAGCAAAGCTTTTGGAGGGTGGGGTGGACAGGACAAATTTCTATGATACAACAGTGTGATTTATTTAAGCCAAAAAAACCTCTGGGATAGACAGGCAGACAGACAGACAGACAGACTGAGGATGTAGAGATGGTAAGGAGAATGAGAGCTCTGTTGTAAAAGAAAAGACAAAATCCCAACCTATTTGATGAAAGGAGCAAATTTGACGCATTGCTTTCTAACAAGTACCATATTTTTCTGTCTGTAAAATGCCCCATGTATAAGACGCCCCCCTTTTCTAATCCAAAATTAAGAAATCTAAGTGGGGAAAGCAAGCGCAGGGGAAAAGGATTAAAGTGCTGCTGGAACGCTTTGATCCCTGCTTTCCCCTCGACTTGTTTTTGTTCTTTCCTCAGCTTACTTCCGTGTATAAGACAACCCTCAATTTTTAGTCTAAAGATTTTAGACAAAAGTATAATCTTATACAAAGAAAAATACAGTATGTTTTAAGCTGGTGCCCCAACTGGAAATGAAAGGTCATGGCTGTCCTGTAAGTCTCATTTACTGGCAGTCATAGGTTCAGGTAACCTAGTTTTTTTCAGAATCCGAGAACTAAAAAACCAGAGAAAAAATAATCTTGGTAAGCCTGGCAAAAAGAACAAATTGTAACTGGGTGGACTGATCTCTTCTTACTGTGCAACAATCTCCCTTATGTGCCATCCCATTACACATAGTTAAGGTTTATTCAACTGGCCAGATCTCTCTTCATAGATTGTCTATTCTCTCTTTCTCTGCGTGTGTGTGTAAAGGCAAATTGTGAAGCCCTCTCTGTCTTCAGCTTCATTCCAATATATTAATTAGATGTGCTAACTTTATACAGTACAATCAAACAGTCTTTACATGGTCTTAGGTTTATCTACTCCCATCCACACCACCCTGAATGTATGAAATGTCATCCAGTTTCAGAAGATAAGCAGAGTCAGATCTGGATAGTATTTGGATGGGAGACCAACATGGAATACGAGCAATTTTTGGTAGGTCTAGGAAAGGAGCCTTCTTGATACCATAGAGAGCTGATGCCAGTCAGAGTTGACAAAACTGGTCTGACTCAGTATAAGGTAAATTCCTATTCTCCCTCTCTTTGCCTCTAACTGGAGAAAGAGATCCAGCAGGGCCAGCACTAGTATTAAACAGAGTGAGGCAATTGCTGGTGAGAAGGGCAGTGGTGTGTTGGTGAATATGGAAATGGAAACACTCATCATGGCATTCTCCATAGCTAGCCCCCAAATAAGATAAGCCCAAAAATGCAGGTACCTGGAACAGATAAGGAATTGATCTTTTGTAAATCTGACAGAGACATCTGCAGGCAATAAGCTGAAATATACTTTAAAAAAGAGTATCAGACAAGAAACAAAACAAAAGCAAGAGGAAGGAGGAGAAGACATTGTGGTACCTTAAAAACTAACTGTTATATTTTAATGTGGGTTTTCATGAACCAAGTCTACTTCCTCAGATACAGGCATGAGACTACTGTATATGGTAAATATTCATACAGTTTGACTTGGGCCCAAAACAAAGAGATAGTAGTTGATTAGTCAACACAAATTGCAAATTATGTGGATCAGTGTGGCATTTCACGCATAGTAACATTTAAGACCCCTGTTTGATAGTCATTTCTTTTCCTTTGAAGCTCTGCTCTGTTAACAGTGGCAATAGCTAGTGGGCAAAGGAACCCAGGCATTCTGCAGAAGAAAAATTACAGGACAAGTATCCACTTGGAGATAGCTGATATAAAATATATATACAGTACATATGCTTGATACCCATCTCAGTAGATTAAATATGAGCCAGGAGTTCTTCAACCACCGCCAATATAATTCACCACATTTATTATGTTGCTGTTTGCTGATATTTTCCATAGCCCGTGTTCCTTGCCAACTAGCCACAGCCATCTTTCCAGAACAAGCTTTAAAGGTAAAGTCAGGAATTCCTAACTCACTACCATATATGTTCTAGAACCTGGGGTTCCTTTAGCTACAATTATGGGCAAATTTAAGGAAAAGAACTGAATATCAAACAGGAGTTCTAAGTCATTACTTGGTGTGAAATCTCGCATTTAGTCACACAGTTTGCAACATGTATCTCCTAACCAACCACTGTTTCTTTATTTAGGAGAATGTATAAATGTATGAATATTTGCCATGTAGTCTCACTCTTACGTCTGAGGAAGTGGCCTTGGTTCATAAAAGCTCACATTAAAATATAGCAGTTAGGCTTTAAGGTGCCACATTTTCTTTTCTTTTTTCTTTTGGTTGTTTCTTGTCTGATGTGCACAGGCTAACATGGCTACCACTCTGAAAAGTTTAAAAATGAAAGAAACAAAGGTGAGAAAAGTAAATACCATATTTTTCGCTCCATAAGACGCACCTCTCCATAAGACGCACCAAATTTTTAGGAGAAGAAAACAGGAAAAATCTGTTTTCTTCGCTCCATAAGACGCACAGACTTTCCACCCCCCTGTTTTGTGGGGAAAAAGTGTGTCTTATAGTGTGAAAAATACGGTAGTTTGTGGAAATTTAAAGCAGAATGTGAGATCCAGAAGTCTGTTCCTTCCAGTGCCAAATCCATTGGTTTCTTTTAACTAGAGTAGATTCATTAGATCAGTGTGACGTATGCAAATATTAACTTAGAAAACAACAGTTTGATGTAGGCCTGTGAGCCCAATAGAATCCGATTCCTTTTAAACTCTCAATTTGAAGCTCTTTCCCACATGATCCTCTGCCACCTAAATACAAAGGATCATGGGTAGAGACAGACTAATCCTGTAGCCTTGTCCACACTTAACTGGGAGTAAGTCCTGTTGACTGTATGGGGGCTTATTTTTGAGTAGGCATGTACAGACTTCACTGGAATCTAATTCAGTTTCATTTCCACGGATTTCAGTGAAGTTTAAGATCAGTCAACTTAGTCTGGATCCAACTTTATATTTTTATTCTGATATGGGTAGGTAGCATTACTTACCAGCTTTTTTTTCCCACCCTCTGAACCTACATAATATTTCAATGTAAGAGACTACATTTTTTCTTATAATGCTGATGTTCTCTTTCCATTTGTTACTTTTCGGTAGTTACTGGTGTAATTTCTTCTTCAAGAGAAACGTTCATCAGCCAGAATCCTATTGGTTAGTTATGTCAACGTAAGTGCAGTGGTGTAAATTGGAACGGTCAGTTCTCATTGGATAGTAGATCATTCCTTGTATCCATCATCTCTCTCCAGCCATGTGCACTGGCACACAATGAGGGATACAAGCAGCAATTCAATAACTGGTGGCAATTTTGTTGCTGCAATTTATGGAACTGCACTTACAACAGTGTCACAGTGATAAGATTCTGGCAGTCTTATTTTTGAGCAGATGAAAGAAAATGTGTTCAATAGTATTCATTCCAGAAAACATGTTTCTGTTGGACGAAAGAAACCTTTTGAATCCAACCCATGGTACAAAATCCTGTTTGCAGAATTACGCTGGTGTAAACTAGATCCAGTTGTTGAAAATAATTCATTTAAATTGAGAGCCTTGGAATGGGGGTGAGAGAAATTCAGAATCAAAAATAGCTGCTGCCAGATCATCACTGCTGGGATTTTGGACTGCTGGTGGTGACCCACGACCAATTTGTGGCTCTTTAAGCCCTCCCTTGTCTCAAGGATCTCAAAGGCTTCCTTGAGGCAAAAGGAAGCCTTAGGGAGCCTTTGAAGTGGGGGGGGGAGATAGGTAGCTTTCAATTAATGTCAATCAGTTCTTTTCAGATCTGGTTTACACCAGCACAACTACGTGAACAGGATTTTGCGAATTGCATCATTCACTAGACTTACCCTGGCCCTCATTCCCTCTGCAGCCTACTATCTGCATCTCTTAAAGGCGGGCTGGAAAAAACTTCCACAGATTTAGGAATTTCACGCTCCTTGTTTTGGGCATCACAGGGGTACCTCTGCCTTCAGCACCGACGGAACGTCCTCATACAGATTTAGGAATTTCACGCTCCTTGTTTGGGCATCAAAGGGGTACCTCTGCCTTCAGCACCAATAGAACGTCCGCATGCATGCCCTAAAACACTGGTTCTTAACCTTTGTTACTCAGATGTTTTTGGACTTCAACTCCCAGAAGCCTTCACCATCAGCTCTGCTGGCTGAGGTTTCTGGGAGTTGCAGTTCAAAAACACCTGAGTAACAAAGGTTAAGAACCACTGCCCTAAAAGAACGAAGCAAAACTTTTGATGTGAAAGCTGCCTTGTATACTTTAGAGGTCATGAGGGTAATTTTACCAGGTTTTCAGCCTTTCTGGCCTCTTTTAGTTCTCAGAGGGGCTTTTTTTTGAGAGTCAGAAATGATCAGAAGTCAATTCCAGTAGTTTTTTTAAAGGCCCCCCCTGCAGCACTAAAAGAGGTTGGTGCAGAAAAAGGGTGAAATAGCCCCCGTGCTTCCAGAGGGTGTCAGGAGCCTCTTCTTATCAAATCATTTGGTAGGTGTAGAGCAGTGGTCCCCAACCTTGGGTAACCCAGGTATTCTTGGACTGCAATTCCCACAAGCCTTCACCACCAACTATGCTGGTTGGGGTTTCTGGGAATTGCAGTTCGAGAACACCTGGTTTACCCAGGATTCAGAACTGCTGGTGTAGAGCAGTGGTCCCCAACCTTGGGCCTCCAGATGTTCTTGGACTGCAACCTCCAGAAGCCTTCACCACCAGCTCTGCTGGCCAGGATTTCTGGGAGTTGAAGTCCAAGAACATCTGGAGGCCCAAAGTTGGGGACCACTGGTGTAGAGGACAACCCAGGGGACCAATCCAGTCCACAGACAGCACTTGACTCTCCCTTGATTTAGTCAAATCATGTGATGTCATGTATTTTCAGGACAGAGGGTGAATGCTTCTCATGCCTTCAGATAAATTCTCTCCTTTATCCCAGTGGTCCCCAACCTTGGGCCTCCAGATGTTCTTAGACTACAACTCCCAGAAGCCTTCAGCACCACCTCTGCTGGCCAGGATTTCTGGGAGTTGAAGTCCAAGAACATCTGGAAGCCCAAGGTTGGGGACCACTGCCCTATCCCACTTTGTCCTTCCTTGCGCCTTCGCGACAATCCCCTTTCTGGTGGGACGCAACTGAAGTATGTGCAATCTCGTTACAGATCCCATGCTTACATTGGCACGCCAGAGGAGGAGCGACCAAGAAACCTGGGCAATCCAGTGTTCCTGACCGCCTGAGCCAATTTCACTTCGTCCTGGGTGTCGGGCCTGGCACGTTATTGACGACGGTGCAATGAACTTTTCATAGGAATTTTTTTTTTCCTTCAGTGCCTTACAGGAGATTCTTAAGACTCAAAAACAATGCAAACCATCAGAAAAAAAAATTCTCGCTTTGCTTGAAAACAAAACAACGACAACAAGAAAATGGACTGCTAATGACAGTATTCTAATAAGGAGGGAGAGAGAAAGAGGAAATATTCTTGTAAAAATAATTTTAACAAAAGTTCAACAGAAGCCATTCTTTGATACCACTGCACAGTCTATGGGCATAATTCTTTTGAAAAAGGAACATAAGATTTTCAAGTTCTCCCTTTCCATTGTTAAACTATTAAGCTGTTCTTAATATTATGCCTCAGAATACTATAGCTCATATTTCTAGAACAGCTTGTTACCTAACTCTGTGATTTAGGATGATACAGCTTCCTTTCCTTTCCTTCCAGATGGTGAACGTTCTCCTTTACCATCACAACTCTAGATCCTGCCTCAGATTTTAAGAAAATGCATATATCAGCTGCAAACCTATGAATGTAACATATAAAAGCTGGAAGGGAAGTTATGCCAACAGAAAATCATGCATCTTCCCTATTAAGGGAAGACATGGTGTATCTTATGAAGGAAAGCCTTCAAGAAGAAGAAAATGCAAGCCAGGCCAGTGTTATTATAAGTGCTTTCTTTTCAATATATATAATAAATAGCATCCAGGATTTAACTGAGATGAAGAGACTGCTCACGACTGGGTTCCCTGTCATATAGCTCTGGATCTCTTCTTGCATTTTTAAAATGAGACTAAACAAAGCAGTGTTGAATATCTCATGATAACAGTATGAAAAAGACAATAGCCCTCACAATGCAGTGTCTGAATCCCTGGTTCTTTCTCATTTTTTCAACGTAGTCTTTTTCTTTTCTTCTTTTCTGTAAATTAAAAACGAAATCTAGCACTGTGCTCAGACAAAGCTTTGTGACTCGCGGCCTCGCTATGTAAACGAAAAGAGGATGGTACCTCATATGAGACCGGTAGGTCCAGCTTATAACAAAACGCTCTAGCATTACAGTTGCTGGTACTTACTATATTCTCTCTGCTGCTGTTGACCATCAATTCATCACTACTTATCAAGAACAGTCAAGATAGCTAGGATACATCTTTAGTTTCATGGAGAATATAATGCATTCCAAAACATACTGCTCAAGACGAAAAGTCTGCATTACTGCCTTACAGCTTTTCAGATGTAGGATGTGTTCCTGACCAGAATCCTAAGAGAAATCTACTGAAGTTGGAGGTGTCAGAGCATAGGTTTGGAAGGCGGGCAGTCCCGAGTTCAATGGCTGGCATGTCTTAATTCAATAGATCTCAGGTTGCATAGGTGGAAAGATTTCTGAGCTTGGAATCTTGGAACAGCAGCTGCCAGTCGGAGTTCGACACGCTAGACTAAGGCAGGGCAGTGGTTCCATCATAGAAGGTAGCTTCCTACATCCATAGCTGCATCTTTTCTATATCTATATATGAAACTCCCATTCTCATTTACCAAATAGATTTTTAAAAATGCAAAATTAAGGAATCATCTACATACTAATTACCTCTAATATGACAATATGTGCAATTTGGTAGCTCAGCAAGATTTCATTTCATAAATAACATACTGGATATTAAATAAAAATTTGTGGGGGAAAGGAAGATAACGAATGCTATATATTTTTTTCTTTAAAATAGAAAAGAAGAAAATGTTTGAAAAAGGTCACTGACAATATATTTGATAGCTCATTAAGACAAACTTATAAAGGTCACCAGTGATATATTTGATAGTTCATTAAATCAAGTATAATATAGTGATAAAGAGGAGAGAACACACACATACACACATATACATTTGGACAAGATGTAACATAAAAAGGAAACTTCTCCTGTAGAACAAATTGCTGCTCATGTTTTTACAGAGATATTAAGCAAAAAGAAGCTGTTCATTTTTTCCTGAAACTGTGATTTTAAATTCCTGAATGCTATAATATTCCAGCAGAAGGAAATGCAAAGCTGTGCAAAATATGTTGTATTTAACTTTTCAAAAAAATGGGGGGAGAGGTGTTTTCTTAAAAGCTGTACAAAGAGAAATGTATGTTTATCAAATGAAGATAATTTTTTCAGAATGAAGGCTTCACGTCAGTGAAGGGTTTGGTAAATGGGGTGTTATTTTTTAAAATGTGCATGTTAATTTAAAAAAAATGTCAACTGCTTTGAAAAAATCCTGCTCCTACCTTCAAGCTATGGAAGTTCAGCAGTAGCCACTTCAGAATCTCTATTTTTATGTTTTTCTCCTTTTTTTTTTCCTCTAAAAAACAAACCGACGAATCTTTTTAGGTTGTATCTTTCTTGGTTGTTAAAATTGCACTTCAGTGAACAGAAGGAAAACAAAAACAAAAAACCTTGCCAAACGAACTCATGGCTGTCAAATTGTAAACTGCATGTGTGGGCATCAATTACTGAGCCTCATTTTAATGAGGCCTTGTACAAAGAATTTTAATACATTTTGTAAATAAAATTGTAAAGAAAACAAAATAAAAAAAAGTTCTTGATTCTGAGCTTTTGACTAAATCGGACAATTGCATACATGGCTACTTTCGTGTTGGGTTTTCAAGATGTCAGAAGAGTTTAAGGGCCTACGGTACTAATCTGGAATCATACCTACATAGGCATAGGAACAGTCAACAGTCCCTCCTCAAGGAAAGTCTTACTTTCACCATATAATTCACCAACACGGACCTCCCAGTCTTTACTTTCTGTTCATGACAGTGGTAACTGGTGGTGCTCCTTGAGGGATACGTGCCAGCGTCTTGGATAGCTCTTGTAAAACTTAGCCGGGATTCACAGCACCTTTCAAATTGAAGCTAACAGCCACCACTGCTTCATTACATGTCTTGGCTTGGATTTGCTTTAGCAAAAAGCCTGCGGTGAGTCCAAAGGCGATCTTTTAATTAAAGCACAGGCATGTACGACACTTGTGCCTGAACTGTGCCCTAAGCAGCTCGGCGCTTCATGTACACACAGGCATACAGTATTTTGAAGCTTCTAATAAACTATTTCATTCCCCTCTTGTAGTATATCAAGAAGAGAAATGTTTCAGGTTTTCAAAGACAAATTATGAATTACAAATAACCTCTCATTAGATGAAGGGATTCCTTTATTGCATACAGATTACCACTGTGACAGCCGGAGCTTTTCTCTCCCCCTGTATCTTGCACATTAGCTTGTTTTGTTTTGCACTGGGTCATCAGAAGGTAAGTAGAGGCTTCTTTGACAATTGTGATTCTTCAGAAACAAGGGTCCACTTCAATCAAGGGTCTGGAATGCTAGTGTGATTTCAGCTCTAATGATGGCTTATCTCTAAGACTAGGGTGGGGAACTATGGAAGGTCAGGGAGCCAAATCCCACCCACTCACCCAAAATCTCCTGAAAGTCATAAAGACTAAAGAAGAGAGAAAGGGGGGGGAAGCATACCTGAAGAAGTGATAAAGACTGGGTTTGGTTGTTACACATTGCAGGTACATTTGTGTGAGAGCTATTCAAAGTTTTTATGAAGCTTCTAGGAATTGTGAATCCCTGCTCTTAGAAGTCTCCAAGAACTACAGTTTGCTTTTTTTTCCTTCTCCCTGGAGAGAATCATGCTCTGAGTCCAATGAGTGAGGGAATCTGAAAAGCAGTATTCAGTAGCACATGTGGTCCTCAGCCATATCTTGCTCACTCCTACTCTAAGTTACAGCTTTGGCCCTAAATCTTTAGAATACTGCTTTTATAGGGCACAGGAATGCACCACACCACATGCAAACAAGAGGTGGCTCTGTTGTTTAGTAACAGAAAATGTGCTTCACATGTTAAAGTCCTCCAGCTCAATCTCTATCATTGCAAGCATGTGATGGGACAAGGATACACGCATACACATTCATAAGATCTTGCCAGCTTAGCAATTAGTGACAGAACAGGAGTTGATGTCCAATTCCAGTCATGTGAAAAAGAAAGTACACCCTCTTTGAATTCTATGGTTTTATGTATCAATTCATAATAAAAATCATCTGGTGCTTAGCAGGTCTGAAATTAGGTAAATACAACATCAGATGAAGAACACATGATATATTACACTGTGTCATGGTTTATTTAACAAAAATAAAGCCAAAATGGAGAAATGTGAAAAACTACGTACACTCTTAACAGCCTCCATAGGAATTAAGAGGCTGTTCTATGGTTTTATGTATCAATTCATAATAAAAATCATCTGGTGCTTAGCAGGTCTGAAATTAGGTAAATACAACATCAGATGAAGAACACATGATATATTACACTGTGTCATGGTTTATTTAACAAAAATAAAGCCAAAATGGAGAAATGTGAAAAACTACGTACACTCGTAATAGCCTCCATAGGAATTAAGAGGCTATGTAGCAGCCAGGTGCTGCTAACCAAATTGCTGACTATCAGCAAGTGTGATCACCTCTATAAAAGCTGAAGTTTTAGCAGTTTGGTGTTCTGAAGTATTCAGGTATGTATTAAGACAACACCAAGGAGGAAACACATAGCAATTTGTAGCAATGATTGTAGAGAAGTAATTGTTGCTGCCCATCCATCTGGGAAGGGTTGTAAGGCCATTTCCAAACAATTTAGGATCCATCATTCTACAGTGAGGAAGACTATTCACAAGTGGAAAGCATTCAAGGCAGTTGCCAATCTTTCCAGGAGTGGACATCCAACGAAATTCAGATTGTGCAATGCTCAGAGCAGTTGCAAAAAAACAACAACAAAAAAACAAACTTCAAAAGTTACATCTCAGACACTACAGGCCTCAGTTACCATGTTAAATGTTAAAGTTCATGGAAGTACAATTAGAAAAAGACTGAACAACTTGCCTTTGTAACAACTTCCCAGTGGAGATCTGCCTGGCTCCCTCTCTGGGTGTTTTCAGGAATAAACTTAAAACCTGGCTATTTGGGCAGGCTTTCCCTCTTGCTGTATCTTAATTTCTTATACTTTCACCACCATGGATCTCTAATATATGTTTTTTTGGTTTTATTGTTTTTAAATTTGTAAACCACCCAGAGTAGACCTTTGGTCTAGATGGGTGGGATAGAAATCCAATAAATAAATAAATAAAAATGAACAATGGTTTGTATGGTTTGTTTGGAAGGGTTATCAGGAGAAAGCCTCTTCTCTCTAAAAAGAACATGGCAGCTTGGCGTAGGCTGGCAAAGCTGCATCTGAACAAACCACAAGACTTCTGGAACAACGTCCTTTGGACAGACGAGACCAAAGTGGAGATGTTTGACCATAAAGCACAGTGCCACATTTGGAAAAACCAAACACAACATATATATCAACTGTCAAACATGGTGGTAGAGGGGTGATGATTTGAGCTTGTTTTGTAGCCATAAGACCTGGGCACATTTCAGTCATTGAGTAGACCATGTATACCAAAGTATTCTAGAGTCAAATGGAAGGCCATCTGTCTGACAGCTAAAGCTTGGCCGAAATTGGGTCATACAACAGGACAATGATCCAAAGCACACCACCAAATCTCCAACAGAATGACTGACAATTAAAAGAATCAAGGTGTTGCAATGGCCCAGTCAAAGTCCAGACCTCAACCCGATTAGAATGCTATGGTGGAACCTAAAGAGAGCTGTCCATAAACAAATGTCTCTAAATCTCAATGAACTGAAGCAACCTTGTGAAGCGGCATGGGCCAAAATTCCTCCATAACTATGCGAGAGGCTGATAAAGTCATACAGAAAATGATTACTTCAAATTATTGCTACTAAAGGTGGTTGTACAAGCTATTGAAGCATAAGATGTACTTAATTTTTCACTCATTGCTTCTCCAATTTGGCTTTATTTTTGTAAAAGAAATCATGACACAGTGTAATATGCCATGTGTTATTGTTCATCTGGGGTTGTATTTACCTAATTTTCAGACCTGCTAAGGACCAAATGACACCCAGCTCTACATCTCCTTTTCACCAACTGCAGGTGATGCCGTCCTGTCCCTCCAGCACTGCCTGGAGGCTGTACTGCAATGGATGCAGGAGAATGGCCTGAGGCTGAATCTGGACAAGACGGAGGTTCTGAGGGTGGGTGGCCCCGTGGTTGGTGGCTTGGGTGACTCTCTCACGTTTGGGGGGGGTGACCCTGGCCATGAAGAGTGGGGTCTGCAGCCTAGGTGTACATCTGGACCCAACGCTCACCATGGAAATGCAGGTGGCGTCGGTAGTCCACACCGCTTTTTTCCACCTCTGGCGGATCGCCCAGCTGCAGCCCTATCTCGACACGGGGGCCCTCACTACCTTGGTGCATGCGCTCGTAATCTCAAGATTAGACCACTGTAATGTGCTCTAGGTGGGGCTGCCTTTGAGGCTGATGCGGGAACTTCAGGTGGTGCGGAATGCGGTGGCCAGACTCCTCACTGGAGTGAGAAAATACTAAAATATTTCTCCAACTCTGACTGCATTGCATTGGCTGCTCATTCGTTTCCACGTTGACTTCATAGTCTTAATGCTTACTTACAAGACCCTAAACGGTTTAGGACCTTGATATTTGGCAGAACGCCTGATCCCACCAAGGTCTACCCGGATCACCCGCGCGAGTCAAATCAATCAATCAATCAATCAATCAATCAATCAATCAATCAATCAATCAACAAATAAATAAATAAATAAATAATTGGAGCTAACTAATGATGGGCTCGGAGTGTTTCTCAGCCATGTGCCTGGGCCCATCCTTAGCTGTCTATCAAAGATGCTATGCACAACCAGTCACTGCAAGTTATGCAGACCTTATGCCCCACATCCATAGGATTCTAGCCATTAATCCTTGAGAGCTGTTGTTGTTTTTGCTGTATTGGACTAACATGGTATCCCCTCTGGGCATTTTTCAAAATGTTGCCTTCCCTTGCATTCGCTTGTTCTCACATATGGGGACAAGTTCACATTTCTCCTTAAATATAAAAAGATTTTTCGGGGGGAGGGGGAGAGAAGGTTAAATCCATGACAATCACATTTCTAAAACGTGCTGTCTACCTACGCTCAGCTATGTGCAGTGAGGGAGATCTATTTATGTCCTGAACATTCCATGCAATACCTATTATACCCCAAGATGCATGTTAGGCAAGAAAATTATATTCCTTGTTAGTGACTTTCTTTCGTGCTTAGAACGGAGTCAGAATGGGGTGGGGAGCGTTGCGTTTCTCCCCACTAACAACCCTCCAAGCAGAATGTGCCTCCTTTTCTCCCCCTGTTGGAAGCATTGCAGGGGGAAAAGCAAGCAAAACAAACCGCATGCTGGTGATTGATATCCTAACCACCTATAGCACATGTCAACAATTTTCAGCATGCCATGGAGAAATGGGCTGTAATTTTTTGGACATTTCACACCATGAGAGCTATAGAAGTGTGAAGGAAATTGTAATGACAGACTAATACATAATGTCCTCACTGTGCTGATCAGCCCTCTGTGGGGAGATTCTAGCTGCAAGCTGTTGCACGAGGAAGGAAACGAGAGAAATGGTTCATTCACATTAATCTGAATTATTCCA